TCACGGCGATTTCGTGAAGAAAAAAAGGATTCGCAAGTCGTACCTCAAGTTACATCCTATCACGTTATTTAGCACCCTCGTAAAACACTAATATCGCCTGTGTAATATTTCCGTCGGTTACCGTCGTCGCCGTTACGTAAAGTAACTTCATGTCCCCGAGGCAAACTGGACCCGCGAGTACTTTTCATTCAATCGACAAGCACGCATTGCTTCGTTAGCGGAAAAATAATGTTAATTGCGAGCGCGACGTCGCGCACAACGTAACATTATAGCACACGTAACGATCCATATAACGATCAAGGCAATCATCGGCAACACGTCGGTGATGATACCGTAAACCGTCGGCAAATCAATGAATTATCAGCGATAAGTTCGTGACTCTCTATTTATTTGATTATTTTTGTCGCAGACCAATCGAGCTCGCGATAATATCTCATCTAAATCAGATTAATAATTAACAATTATAGATTACATCAAGAGTTAATATAAATAGGGAAACGCGTCATTTGATAGACAAGTGATTAAAAAAGAGAGAAAGTGTGGATAATTTCATTTATACTTTAACACATAAGAAAGTTCTTCGCGTTAAAGGATTCATTAATCAAGAGGAAATTAAGAGATAGTAATACCGAAAATAATTCAAAAGCCATAAAAATTGTTGTCTGAACTTTGTGAATACATAGTCAGGACATTCACATTGTCGTAAAAAGTTTTTTCCAATTAAGCAATCAAAAAGAATGATATTAACAAGACAAAAAGAGAAATTAAAGTATATTACTTTCTCAAAGAAATTATAATAAAGTTTACATCAAACATCGCAATTGTAGCTTTATCCTAAATAATTCGAGAATCTGGGAAATACCGTTAACGAGACACAGCGATAAATCTATGAAATCTGAGGAAGAGGCTGAAAATCTAATACGAATAGCGTAATTTAGAACTTTCATAAATAGTCAAGACTGACTTGCCGAGTGCCACAGGTAGAAATCGATAACGTCCGTAGAGCAGCGCCGTCTTGCGCAACCCGTCGTCGGCCATTGAATTATTCATTCATTAATTTTCGGTAGCTGTCCGCGCCAGAGGATCAGCGAGTGAACGAGCGAACGACACTCGCCTGTCTCCTCTTCGTACAGAATCACGAATCGTTTGTCGGTCGCACACGGATGACACAGTGCGGAGCCTGCCGGTAATGTTTTCATCAGCATTTCGGGAATGGCGGAGCATATTTTAAGGCAATAATTTTCGCCGCGGTCGATGGCCCGGTCCTCCGCGCGGCGCGGCGTGGCGCGGCGTCGAAACGGGGACATCGGCCCTTTTGATCGTGCTTGAAGGGGCCCGTCGAGGGCCATTATCGACCTTTAAGGACCTTGCTGCGACTCGTAGAGACCGGTTACCATAACCGCACGTATAACCGCTCGCTACACCGGAGGAGGACCTCCCGGAGGTGTTGTAGGAGTCCCCGAACGCGGTCTCGGCCCGATGATCGAATATATTTTTCCGTTGATGTTACCGTCCGTGGACGTTCCGCTCTTATACCCCAACGGTGTTCATTAAATAAGCCCGACTCGGTGATTTGATCATCCCATTCGAATTAGAATCTCATGTATTGCGGAGATAAGGAAACAGACAAAAAGAACGGAGAAGATCCTGTTGAAATTTCAATTAGACATTTCCGCGTATTAAAATGAATATCTACCTCTGTTTTAAAGTAATTTCGACCAAATTTCGATTAATTTATCAAGCAGTGTTTATAATAATTATTAATATGAATAGAATTAATTTTTTGTTGTTTAATATATGAAAGAGACGATTGGATTAGAAACAACGAATTATACAGAGTTAGGAATTTTAGTAATTAATCGTCGATTGAGTTAATCGAAGGTTAGTCAAAATTGTCTTTATAGTTGAATATTGTGTAACCATCGCATCGGTTTAACGATGCTCTACATCATATTACATTAGTTTCTGCATTATATTGCACAGTTTAATAACGTTTAATTCGCGTTTAATTAATTTATTACTCGATTATCCGATTCTAATTTAACAAATCGCGCAGTTTCCATCGCGATCGCGCGTTGACGAGCGGAAAGACGCAGGAATCGCGACGCTTTTTTTTCTATCGCGTCGATTGGCTGATGAATTTTTCATCGGGTCGAAAGATGCAAAGTAGCTGCCTCGTAAAGTATACAACACGTTCGTTATACATTCGTACGCTCGTTGTACATACGTATCAGAGGCACTCCTCTTCCACCAACCCCCGGACCATACCATGTTACGGCGCGATTCCCGCCGGTCACAAAGAGGATCGTTCATCACTTCCAGAAGTCACGAAAGAAGCGAGTACCTCTTCCTCTCCGCGGGGACCGTGTCCAGGAACGAGGCGATTTTGTTTGCAAACGATCTGCGCGGCTTGGCTACCGCAGAAAACTGCCGCCGCGAAATTGAATTCGCCACAGCGCGGTGCGGCGAACTCGCCATTTTTCGCCTTGACTAATCGATACAGTGATATCATAGTTCGCCACCCACGTGGAACGGCAAGGACCGTAGAATGCGACAGATCTATGGCGGCGTGGCGTCGCGAATAATGAAGACCGGTTGCAGCGATGTCGATTTTTTTTAGAGTTATAAGCGCCTGAGAAAACTATAATTATATTTTGCTACAATCTACCGCAAGATAATTTGCGTAGCGTTGTTTTAATCGGTTTAAATTAAAGTTTAAATTGAGCCTTAAAGACAAATTATGGTGTTAATAACGACAACATTAATGATCCTATTAATAATGACATTGATAATAATTTACAATCAAATATGAAATACACGTAATAAAGAATAGTGATAATTCCTGACGATGTTACGATGAGCGTTACGAATGTGTTATTTATTTTATCAATTTATACAAAATTAGAAATGTACGAAAGAAAGAATTTTTGAAAGAAATATTCACGTATTACGGAATTGCTTGCAACGATGTACCGAGTTATTATTCCTTCGCTAATTTTACAGCGCGAGATAGGCGCAGGAATGAAGTAACTGCCGAAAACGACGTTGAAAGCAATTTGCTCTACGGGTGTCTGAATTAATCACTATGCTGCCGAGCCGTTTAAATCGCTTCTATGCGCGACGATCATTAATTCAAATCACTAGGTTGAACTACTTTTCCTTCCGGTGAACTTCCGACAACACGAGAGAAGCTTAAGAACCTCTCGAATGTGATTCGACTTCTAACTTAAAGCAAGCTGCTGGTAATCCGCATTTCGAAAATTCCCTCGTGCTCGCGTTTTCGTCGAATCGTGTCGCATGTAAAATTCACCGGAGACTCGTTGACGGGCACTCATGTTTTTTTGAGATACGCAAAAACTAAAACACGCGTCATGCAGCAAGTTTACAAGTTTCCGATGCTTACTTATACACAACAGCACTATTTGTGGATCGTCGAACAAAAATAAAGTCTATTCTTAATCTGGCGTTAAGATGATGTTTATTAAAATCTAACTAATTTAAGAACTGAAATCAATGTAAAATTTTTAGAATATTTTAAATTAAGTTTGGTCCTCGAACTAAATTATATCAATAAAGTTGCTATGATTCAAAAGTTATTAAAACAATTTTTTTTATTATAATAACAAAACAATTATGAAAATAATACTATGTTTATAGTATCTGAGATTTGTCATTCCTAGCCTTAGTAATTCTGGATTAAGATCAGGCCGAGCGAAACGGCGCCCGCGTTGTTCGACGAAAAAATGCCAAGGTCTAATACTTTGCGAGAGATCCCTTTTTCTCAAATCGCCGATCCGTTGTTCAATCACGCAAAAACACTGATCTTTCTCGTGTGATCATCGTCGATAGATCATAAACGGAAAGACAACTAAATCATCGGAAAAGGTGTCGAAGGTATTCACCGCTCAATAACGCGAACTTTCATGATTCGAGAGAGACAACAAAAAAAGACGCAGGGAAATTTGAAATTTTTATCATTGTATCATAAATATTTATATATCATGTATGCTATGCATTGATTATTGAGCTACAAATAAATTGGCGTTTTTAAGATATATTTCTGATCGTAGCAGTGGCATAGTGAAAAGATAGTCGCGTATAGTCGATTTATATTCGTTCTATATCAACGAATCTATATTCATCGATGTATATGTATGATGCAGATTGTGAACGTGAGTTCTAATTATATGTGGGGTATTAATAGTTCCTCAATAATAATAATTCTCTATTTATGCGGTAATGATTAATTAATTCCTAATAAATATCATTTATTTAGATTATCTTACAAGAAGTGTCGGCGTTTTGCAAATTTAAAAGATGTTCTTTAAATAGATAATTCTATTAAACATCCATTAATTTTTTTTTCGCAATGTTAACAATTTTCATTTATCTACATTAAGTATACTTTATCATGTCGCTATTTTACTTTAAAAGTGAAATAAATTTTTTAAAAACGTAATTTTCAAGTTATATCATGAATGAATTAAGCAAACATTATTCCCTATCCATCATCAAAAGTGAACTAACTTAATTTCATAAAAAAAATTCATCACAATTCAAAAGAGATGGTTTTAAAAGTCCTCATAATTATCATAATTAAAAAGATATTTTTTAAGGATTATGAAAACAAAAATGACAAAACTAACTAACATTTGATCATACTAAGAATATAGATATTCTTCTTGCCGATACTATTTGATTGATATCAATAATTTTTGGTTAAATTGAAAAATAATTTTCCCCTTTTATGGGAAACTTAATTTTAAGTGAAGTAATAGAGCGATATATGAATAAATGATTTTATTAAAAAATTTGATCAATGTATTTAATTTGATAATTCCGATTATTATTACGAATTTTTACTCTTTCTAAAGATAACTATAATTCTATGTATTAGCGAGGCCAATAGGAGTCAGCAGGATCTTTTCATATAAGAATTGGAAGCACACGCACACGCACACGCACACGCACACGCACCCGCACACAGCATACGTACGTACCTGAAGAAGTCGTTTCTGCAGAAGAGCTTCGCCTCCCTGGAGAAGCACTTGTCCTGCAACGCGGCTCTGCAGTCGAAACAGCGCACGCACTCGACGTGCCATGCACGCTGATCCATTATCGGTTTCTCGCATCCTGCACATGACAGGAGCATCGCCAGACCGCGTCTCCCTGTTGAAATTAAAAGAGAACATATTACGCATCTCCGCCACTTCGGCCTCGAGATCTTACGACATGACGTTCAGCCCCGTCGTACAAGCTCGTTCAATATCGCCCTCTTTTAAACTACCTACACCTTTTTTTTCTCTTTTTTTCCCCCCCTCATCCTTTCATGGATGAAACGCGCAAATCTTTTTGCGCTCCGTCAAACGACTCGATCTGATACATCCAATTCGAAAATTTCAATTGAAATTTGATGAAATATTAACGCACGGTTATTAATGCATGCGCGTAGCGGACACAAACGTTATGTCATTGGTTCCGGGCAAAGCTTAAATTAATATTGGTTCTGCACGCAATGCTGAACATTTCGCTGTAAATATGCGCTACGCATTCCGCGTAACGCAACGCCGGCTTTACGCGATTTAATGTAATCGCGGATGCATCGTCGAGATTCAAATCGCCGAGCGTTTCAATTTATACTCGAGAATATTCTCTTTCCTTTCCATTTCAAATAATACAGTGCTGCTGTAATCTAGCGTTGAAAGAATGAAATATTGTTAGTGATCGCAATATTAAATACTTCTTTCGCGACACACGTATTTATTTATAAATACAAATTTCCAGCTTGTTCGAAACGCCCGTCGAATAATTATCACAATGGAAACTCGATCGGAATTATGCGCAAAATTATCTGCAATGAGTCGAATTAAAATCACATGCAGATACGCAAAGTAAGCGCGCGTGGCGATGATTTGTTATTAAAAAAAAAAAAGGGAAGAAAAATGGCTTATTAATCGCATTGGCAGCATCGATCGAAATGTTTGGAAGCCTTTCGAGCGTGGCGCGCGTTTTATTTAGAAAGAAGATTAAGCGCTTTCATTGTAAGAGCGCGCGTGCATAACGAGGCGTGCATTGTGCTGGGCTTTTTTGTATATTCGACGGTTAAATCACCGTACGATCTGGTTGACACAACTGGACTGGTGTAAAAATACAACAATGCGACATAATCGCCGTACTAATCACGTAGAGCAGCAACTAATCCGATCTGTGAAAAAAAATCTTGTTTTTACCAGCTGATAAGATTGATAATGAAAATCGCGTGTTCGTTTCAAGCTTCGCGAATTTTGTAATGAATCTGAAGCGGGGATTCCTTAAAGAAATCTTGACAGCATATCGCGCACTCTTTGCAAATTACATTAATCCTAAGTGTTACATTATTTTTCTCTCTTTTTGACGCTACCGAGAATTAAATGCAATTATGTTTTTTATTCGCAATCAGAATGTAAATCAAATATGTAATTTTTGAACACAAAGGAAATATGCAATTTTTTAACAAAGAAAAAGATAGGTTTGAAAATTGCAGATGTTTGTGCGATAATAATTTAAATATTCCGTTGTTTGTAAAACTACAACTACTTGCAAACAACAGAATATTTAAATCGTTTCTTAATCTAGTAAACATTGCTAAACGTAACCATAAATTTTTGAATCTAGATTATCACAAGTACAATTATCACGTAAATAGCAATATTCGCTATTGCAATATGAGTCTAATTTTTATATCCTAAATTTAGATCTTTCTAAAAACAATATTATTCTTATATGTAAATCGACATATGTTATATTTGTTGTTTAAAAATGAAAGATAAATGAGAAAATTAAATTAAATTAATGTTGATTTTTACAAGACATAATCTCACTTTATAAATATATTTGATTTAAATATTAAGCTCGTAAAATATATTTTGAGTTTAATTACTGATAAATTGACAATAATTGAAAATTAAATAATCAACAATGGCCATCAATAAAAAAATTCAATAAACAAGAATTTCGCTAAACAAGTCTTTAAATTCATCAAGCGAGAACGCAAATTTTCTGTTGCACAATTCTGTATATATATATATATATAATTCATTGCTAATATAACAGTAACGATTAAATATATCAAAAATTATCGAACGCTAACTGAGATTTCAATTACTACCAGGCATCTCTCAGTAATTTAAGCACAGAAATTTGAACAATGTAAAATATCGCAGTTAAAATGTTTGCGTTACAAATGGTTAGCTGAAATTCCACCATTCGGACTACGTTACAATTGCCTAGCTAATGACGTTCTCTTTAATTCGTAAGAAGATGTGGGAGGGGAAAAAGGAAAAATTTCGAGCATCGCGCGACGGGATACAGCGACCATAAATCTCGCGGCACTTAAACAAAAAGCTGCGGATTATTGCATCGATGAATTTTACGATTGCGCTTCGGCATTTATAGTTGCGCAATCTTTCATCTGACTAATTTTGCGGTCGCTTTTTCGCGCGTCTTTCGCGATCGGGCCCTACAGCGAATAATTATAATTCATCGTTAATTAACATTCGCGAACGAGGCTGCTCTTTCGCCCTTTGCTCTCTCTCTCCCTTTGCTCTCTCTCTCTCTCTCTCTCTCTCTCTCTCTCTCTCTCTCTCTCTCTCTCTAAATTTTTTCTCTTTTTTCTTCCTTCGCTCTGCCATTATTCCTTTTCCTTTTCTTCCCTCCGTTCGCCCTCTCGCCGTTTTTATCGCCATCATTGAGACCCACGGAATTCACCCTCCTCTTCCTTTTTTTCCGCGGTTTCCGCCAATGGGCGGAGTCCCTCTGCCTGGCTGGCAGGGTTGTCAACCTAGCAACTCTCCTCCCACCCTTAAGATCTGACCTTGCGCATCTCATCCCTCTCGTGGAAGGGCGAGAAAGGCGAGGGTAGTAGAACGGCATCGACGTCCGTGAACGTTCGCAAGTTAACTTCAAAATCGTAAACTATTCCACGTAATCGACTAGCATGCGCCCCGCTGCTAGTCCAAGCTACTTAACTTAATACAATAAAACCAAATCACCCGATAGCATAAATCTTAACATTTACAAAAAAAGTTCCAAATCATTCATATATTTACTGACAAATGATTTCATCATTATTGCTTTTGAAATATCTTCTTTTCAAATTATTCCATATCAAAAATCCATATCAATTACGAATTTTAGTAAAGAGCACAAAACACGAGCTACACAAAATAAAAACTATTAATATCTTGGTTAACATTATTTACAGAAATAACTTTACTGCGTATTCTTATATATGTATACTTTATATACTTTATAATATTCTTTATACTTTATAATATTATATACTTTATGATATTCTTTATACTTTTTATAAATTAATTCATTTCATTCGTTATATATTAGGTGTTGGAATTAATTCGTAGCGTTTTTTAATGAAAGAATGTTATTTATTTCACATGAGCATTAAAAAATACATTAATGAAAGTACTTCCCATCACTTGTAAAACGCTACGAATTAATTCCAACACCTAATATTATATATGTATATAATCAATATAAATATGAAATTTTAAACATTATATTATCAGTGGACATATATGACGGAGAAAATCGAGGTAGTGAATTTGACAATCATCAATTGCATAACGATTATATGAAATTCTAATATAGCGATTAAAGTTAAAATACGTTTCCAAATTAGTGACTTATATCTAACATAAAGTTAGAGTTGATTTTTTAATTCATTATGATGATTGTAACTATTTAAGACTATTTTTACAAAAAGAAATTACGGCTGTACGTTCAAGCAATAAATTATCTAATCGTGAAATCAATAATATAAATTAAGGTAACACGTTTAGGAACTAATCTCGCGTATAAATATCACGTAGAATTCCGATATTATCGCGTAACGACTTAAATGCTTGAATAACGGTCTTAAGGAATATAAGACAGATACATAGGGTGTTCACGTATCAATGTCGATTAAAATAAATTGCTCAAACGATGTTATCCTCGATACAGGCATTAGAAAATATTTAAAATAATCCTCAATAATTTTCCTTTGATATGAAATGTTTTAAATTTCACGGAAATATGCGAGTTGATAACAAAAAATTTTAAAACACTAATAGTAAACATAAAATTCTTTTTTCATTCTTACATTACTTCGAATATAAAAGTTTTTTCAGTTTTATCAAAATATTTATTCCTCCTGTCATCTAAGTAACAAAATGTCGGATATTTATGCGGTCGCCTATCTCAGTTAGAGAAAACTAATCACTCACGATTTAAAACTTTTGTGTATAATTTCAGTAGGAAAAAGTGAGAGACAGGAAACCGTAGAAAGACCTAGCTAGTTGAATCGCATAAACCAGATTAGGATTAGCGGGACGTGAGGCGAAAATCCTGTTGATCCAGCAACATCGGATTGCTTAATCCGATTTTTTCCGGCTGAACGTCATTGCTCATGTCATGCCGAATCTTGTTTTGTTCCGTCAGACGAGACTTTATCAAAATGTCTTTATCATAAATGCTACAGCAATGCCGAGAGAATAACAATAAGAATAATGATGAAAGAAAATTGAAATCTTTAATATAATATAAACAGCTATCTTACATCAGAAAAACATTTAAAAAATTTTACTAAAAAAAGACAGTTTATATCATTTATGAATATAAAATATGAAATAATGAAACTCAATATTAAACAATATGATCTAATGTTAATTAAATAATGAAAAGGATAACAAAAGGATTTTTAATTCGTAGAGGAATTCCCAGTTCTATTTATGTCTATGTAATTCTCTCACGTGCACTTAAAGATAAAATCTCTGGTGCGCTCTGACATAAACATAAATCAAATCTTCCGACTTTGGTCGACAGTATAATTTTTAACTGTTTTATCAGATCCGAAACTAACACTAAAGCACAGCCAGAAATCCGCGAATATAATTTTCAATGTAATTACGTTCGACACTTGCTTGTGTAAACCTATATTTATTTCTATATATAACATATGCAAGCAGACATATACATAGTATATATTAAATAAAAAAATATAGAAATACGTGTGTGTGTATATATATATATATATATATATATATATATATACAGGAGCAACCCCACTCTCGTACATTTTGACATGCGCGTTTCACCCCCGGACTTTGCAGTTGACGACGCGGAGGGGATGA